CAGGCATAAGGCATCTGAGCTCCAGATGCACTCGTTCAGGCAGCCAGGGCCATAAATAAAATAGGAAAGAATGCTCTGACTCTAACATGGGTTTTGCAGAGATGTGTTGAAGGTCTAGCAGATGGGTTTTGCTGTCTCAGCTTTTACCTGTGTCACAGAGTAAATGCATAAAGCTGCTTACTGACTCCTTCGATACAAAAGCTTTCCTTTTGCTCCCATATGCTCCTGTGAAGATGCAGCTAATTTAAACAATGAGCAAAATCCTACCCTCTAGGGAAGCTGATGGCAAAACTCCCACTGGCTCCAGCAGGCTTGGGGTGTTGCTCAACATAAATGCAATTGGCTGAACTTGACTAACAGCAAAACCAATACTGTAATGAAATTTGTATTCTTTCACCTACAAATCTGCCACCTAACACTGACCCTGGTGCTGCTGTTTCTTGTGGAAGAGCAAAAGCAGTGACAAAGCTGCTGCCACTGAAACTGGGCTTGCTGCAGCCTCAGCCCATGCTGGAAAGCAGCTCTCTTGCATGGAGGGGTGAGAAAACCTCTCTTGAATGTATCAAAACATTCTGTCAGACCATTAACTTTCTTCTGCTCAATCTACCTGCTGTTCTAACAAAGCAGAAAACTGGAATCCTGCATTTGAAAGACAGATAGCAAAAACTTTGGATTTTCAAAGAAGTTTACCAGTTCAGAAATCAGTTTTTTCCCCTCACACAGAGATTTCAACATCATCATCCAGTCTAGCAGTTACAAACATCTGAGTATTCTTTCTGAAGCCAGTGTGCTGTTTGGGCAGATGGCACAGAATTTTTACAGTCCATTTCATCCCTGATGCCTGCAGCTAATGCTAATGGGATACATACACACGGATACATGCACAAACACACGTGCATATACAGACATGTTAACAGAAGAAAACATACCTGACACTTCTGATATGGGAATTAAATTGGTGAAGGAAAACTCCTGAGCTCAGCATGTGCTAGAAGTACATCCTCAAAACTGTACATCTGGCTGACTTTAGGAAAAATAGTGCACTATGAACAACTAAGCAACACTTCCCAGTTTAGTATTTCTGGAAAATCAGTTTATGCCTCTCTTAATCCTTACCAAAATACATTTGCTCACCTGTATCACTTAGTTTTAAACTATAACCACTTGGGTGCCCATATTCAGTTTGGTTACTGTGGATGCTCACTACTCACCACACTTCACTTTGATCCACCCCTGCAAACCTTAGATTATCTTGCCAGAAATTCATGAAGCGATTTAAAGGTATATTTGACTCATTCCATTTCATAACCGGGCAATACTTTTTTTCCCAGATCTAAAAAAGAAAATCCCAGTACTAAGGACAGAAAGTTGACAAGAAAAAGAACCCCCAGCCTGGGACTCCCTAAGACCACAGCCTGCATCAGGAGGTAGCAACAGGGGCAACTCCAGGGATGGGAGGTAGAACAGGCAGTAGAGGGAACAGGCACCAAGGGAGTTGCCAAACTAATGCATGGCTTAACTATGGTTGGGTATGTCCTTCCAGAGCCCTCCTTAAGAGGCAACACTTGACTCAAGCATGTTCTTGCAACATGGGCTCTGCTCGTCTTTCTCAGTGCCTCGGTTCAGTCCCTCCTTACAGCCCCCAACCCTGACAGCTCTTGGGAGTCCCGTCCGCCCCCCCGTGATGCACCCCAGCTTCTAGTCAAAGCACTGCTTTGTAATAGAGCTTAGGGAAAGATGGAGGAGGAAGAAAAGAATAAATATATTGGAAGACTGATGACTCAGACTAACTAGAGAATGTGCTTACAGCAAGTTTGTTTCATCAATGGCAGTCCTCTGCTGTTTGCTTTACCCCTTTTAGACTGGGTCATCCCAATTCTTTTATTCCATTTAATGGTGACATAACTAAGTGGCCAGGAGGAAGCTGCCTCACCTATCATAAAAGCACAGTATGTAGTAATCATAGGAGGCTACTGTTCAGGACAAAGCCATGAACTCCGCTTTTAAGAATGCGCTGGGCTGTAATTCTGAACAATGCATTTATTAGCAAACTCCTGGTTTTATAAGCTGCAAATCAAGACACAGCCTCCTTCAGCACTCGGCTGGCTTTATGAATCATGAGCCCTGCAGTGCATTGCCCTAAGACTTTGCTTTAAAAATACAATTGTTTGCTCAACAGCAGAACACTCCAGCCTCTTCTTTCCACAACTGCTGCTTAGTCTCAAACTAGAATGAAACAGCAGCTCTGGAACTAGATGCACTTAATGTCCAGTTAGTATCTATGAGATTCAGTATAAAAGCATCACGGTGAGTTTCTAGGTCTGACATCTGCTTGATTAAGCAACATATTCAATATCTGGTTACTTTGCAAACTATCTGCAAAATACTTTGCTATCTGCAAACATGGCAAAAAAAAAAAAAACTATCTGCAGAAATAACTGCAAAATATCTGGTTACTTTGTAAACCAGGCAGCTAAGTAGAACAGGTCTAATTCAGAGTCAATCGTGATTTTTTGGGGGGGGTTGGGGGGAGGGTGGTGGTGCTAGAGGTTTCCCAGATATCCCTTATTTCAAAGCAGGAAAAAAAAACACAATGGCCAGCTCTGTACCAAACCACAGGTCAATAGATTTCAATGGTCCAAGGTTAAAACTGGCAGCCAGCTAGCTGCACAGACTTATCCCACAGGTATTAAACAGGAAACTTTTAAAGCTTAAAAATAGTTACAGTTATGTGACTTATTCCTGTAAAAAGATTTTTATCATGTACATGAAGACTAGAAGCTTTCCTCCTTAGAAATGTTTGTGTTCGACACTTCCTCTGTAGCACAGCAAGTCTGTGTTTTACCCTTTTGCAAGGGCTGTGGGTCGAATTTTGTTTTGCTATTTTGTCCTTTTTTCTTTCACAAATCAAGCTGTCAGCAGCATGGGAAGTAAATCTGTAACTGGGACACGTAAAAAACCCTTTTCTGAGACTGCATCGCTGCCCCCAGTAAAGTCACCCTTGGAAACAAGAGCATTTGAGAATAAGCGCACTGTGAAAGGCTTTTCGCTACGGTTGTTTTAGCTGAAAAGGGACAACATAATTCAAGTAAAATACTCCAGAGATTAGAGATGCTAAAAGTATGTGGTCTCTGCTAAGTTTCCTGCTACTGCAGGCCACAACCTCTAAGGAGTACTGTATTTGAATATCTGCTTTGCTGGCGACAACACTTTTGGGCTGGGAGATAAACCTTGTTTTCTTGGAGTGATATGAAAGCTACACAATAATATATGCTCCTCTCCTACTACTACAACCACTCCCAAAGCTAAGTAAATCCAGCCCAATACCAAAGGGCCATGTGCTGAACACAGCTGGTTGCTCCATGAGTTGCTTTAGTCTGCTATTAACTTTGTCCTCTGCTCCTTACTCACCGCTCTGTATCACAGCTAGTAGCTGTACTGTCCACATGTCCAGCCTCCTCCACCCTCAGCAGATCCATCCCATCTGTCCTCAGATGCCATATCTAGTCACCACTTCCCAGGTGGCCCAGTTTACCTAACCTTGATCTCCTGCTGGACCCTGAAGCCTGTCTCCACTGTCAGATGCACTATGCTCAACCAGCCCAACCATGTCATTAGCAGTGCAGCTGCAGAGCCACCAACCTGCCAGTATGTATGTGGCAGACCACTTCTTGGCATCTATTAATCATATATTGCATAAGAAACAGTCCCTTAACGCAGTCTGGTCGTTCCACTCCCGAAACATGGAAAGGACATAAAAGCTTTTGGCCATGCAGAAAAGGAACAAAATGAGTAGTAATTAACTCTCATGACTACAAAGGCTAACAACTTCAGCACTGGCAAAGGGGATCAGAGGCAGCTGAACTGAGAAAGAACTTCAGCAGAACAAGTATTTGCCTGGGAGCAAACACTGCCAAAGTGCTTATTTTAGAATGAATAGTCATGTTAGTTAACTAGAGCTAACTATTGAACAAATAGCTCACGTTACGGCATACCGAGGTACACTAGATGCAGACTTTGATCTACCGACTGACAGACCTACTGCAGTGTTGGTTTTTTTTTCAGAAATTAAAAAAGAAAAACAAACATAAAATTGTCCTTCTTGGTTTTGGTGGAGTATTCTCACAGATTAAGCAGAACAAAACCTGTTTGAAAAAAGAACCTAAACTGGACTGACTTACTGCAGCATGAGATACTTTCAGCGTGAGCATGTGGTTTGCAAAGCAAGAAAGAGCTACCAAATAAAAAGTTTCCCCATAAATTCACAGGTGTGACTGTTAACCCCTTACTTGTACCTCCATCAGGACAGGCAAGCTTTGGTGCACTATACGCCTTTGTCATTTCTGACCACTGAACACAATTGCAGCCTCTCAGCATTGGGATTTGGCCTGTTGTTCAGTGGCATGCTATGTAGCCTGCCACATCCCACATGCCACTTACTTAAAATACCACAGTCGACAATGAATATGACTCCCATGGTTTTCAAGAAGTAGGGGAAGAAAGCTTGGGGGCTTTAGGAATGTTTTTTTCAGGCAGCCAAAATTAATCCTGAAAATTACAAGTAAGATGTGTTCTGGTGATCACCATACAAGTAAATGCATCTCATCTGAAAACACCCACAAAAAGTTTCTTTTTTACATGAACTGCTTTACACTGGTCATAAATTGAAGGGATTTGAGGGATTTGACAGGGATTAAAGATTCACTTGTCAGCTGCTATGTCCTTTAATAAGCTTCTTAACATCTATACTGACAGAAGCAGCATGTCCCCAGTTCAGGAGACTAGGCTGTCTCTGTCCAGGTTTCACTACAGCTCTGAAGGCCTGGAAAAAGTATTAAATGCAGTGAGTCTTCTGCCCCTTTTAGGGAAATAATCTACTAAATAGATTTGCTTCAGACCCAGTTTTTGTGGAATGGACAATAAAGGTACTAACTTAATTTCCAGGCGCTGCACAAAGCGCGTGGGGCTCTTCATGCTCTACTGAGGAGAAATTCACATACCAAAAACCTGCGTTGTGCTCTGCTATGTCCTATTCTTGTACCTCCTGCCTCAGTTCAGGTCCAGAGCAAGCTTCTTCCTCCAGGCTCATTCAGCTCGGTAAGGATTGCCTTCCTTGTAAAGCACTTGAGAGCAGCTAGGAGTTCTCTGCCACAGGCAATGCAGCCACTGACCGTCTAACCCAGACAAGACAGCTTAATCCCTGTTTTGCACTCTCCCCTGTAACATAGAGATGAAAAACATTCTTTCAGCTTTCCAGCTAAGTATTTTTCTACTTTTTAAATAGTATGCTCTTTAGAACACAAGGTTGACCACATACTTATCCAAAACCAAGATCAAATCACCTTTTGCTTTAATTCTTTGGGACCTCTCGAGAATGGCCTTTGTTTAGCAGCATTTTTAAAGTTCAAGCTAACTGCAAAGCAGACCAGGCAGATTCTCGCTTTGAGCCCTTAGGTTTATTTGGTTTCCATCCTCCTGTCTTTCTATGCTCTGGGCAATTCCAGCCAAGTTCCTTACTGGTCTCTTACACTTGTTTTGTGCCACCTTACGCTGCTGAAGCCATGCAAGTAAGGAACTGTAATAACAATACCAACTGCTCAGCTTTGACAGGACATGGCTATTTTTACTGGATTACTTTTCTGGCACAGCACTTAAAGCACCAAATGATTTGACACCTGTAATTTTATACTTGGAATAACACAAGGTATTCATACTTCTTTTGTAATGTAAGATAAAAGCAAACACTACATATGTTCTCATTCCAGTGCTGCTGTCTGGCAGCTATTTGCCTAAGGAAGAAAAAAAAAAAGTACTGTTACATTACAGAATATGTGGAAAAGTAAAAGCTATGGAAAAGTCATCATTAAATAGCTAACTTATTCCCCTGCTAGCACTAGACTGCTCCCTGCAGCATGTTTCAGAGTGTTTTGTCCAGTCTGGTTTTACAAGTTTCACATTACTTTCATTTATATATTTAATACAGTGCTGAGTCCAATGTGGTTTGGTGCTGCTTATTTTCCTTGTCTTTCAACTAGCAGACTCAGTGCTAGACCAGCTGTTCATATAGAGACAGCTCCAAAACTACTGAAAAAAAACCTGGACTCCTTCCACGGACTTCAACAGGCTTTGGATCAGGCTCATGAGAAGACAGTGACTACATTGCATGTAAGACTAAGCAGGTTACAGTCAGCAAAGTAGAAAGAGGATTAGCTGTGTACAATCTGAAGGCATATTATTCTGCGTGCTTCTGAAGCAACTGGCTAACACACTTTCGCTTTCTCAGAGAGAAAGGGCTCTGCCACTAAGTCAACGTCACCATGCCAGCAACGAATTTGATCTGGAATCTGCCCAGTTAGCCTGGTTACAACTGGGATTTTCCTAAACTGGAGGTGAGAAACTTTATTTTCTAAAATAAAATGCAAAACCAGTATGCAAATACTTTCTGCTTCCCAGTTTATGTTTGGGTCTGTAGGTTAGAGACCTATGGAATGAGTATTAGGAGAAACACAATGGGTTTTTCTCTTTCCTCTGTCATGGAAGTATGGATCATCTTTCTTCTTTGGAACCTAAAATGAATCATATTTGGTTTAAAACACACTGACCTTCGCTTTCTGTCACCAAAACAGATGGGCAGCCCCAAACCTCTAATTTGCCTGTATTTTAGAGCATACTGGTAGTTCAACACACCCCCACAGTGTATGCTCTGAGTGCACACCTTCTGAAAGCTAGAATGCCTTTTATTAGAAATTATTTTTGGGGGGGGAGATTCATTCTGAACAACATAATCAAACAAAGATGGTGGTGCACGGTTATTCTTCCAACCCTTTCAAATTCATAGCAGTGTTAGAGTTAGTGCTGCTCTCAGCCACTGAGAATGCTTTCATCAACTACACTGATTTTTTCTTCTCTCTCTGTTCCCTACGGATAGGGTACTTCGTGCATTGCTTTGTTGTACGATGTGTACAGTTATAACCTACGCTAAAAGCATGCCATTAGTGAATGAACACTGGGTGTGGGTGTCAAGCAGATGAGAATGTTCTTTTGATCTTCTGTGCTCCACTACTGTGGCAGATGGATGTCTAAACTGCTTTATTAATGTCCTGAAATGTTCCATCATTTCTCAAACAATATTGATGGAATAATCACAATTTTACCATGTTTTGATTTTCTGCTCTTTCAGCTCTAATCTAGGTGGAGTAGGGGAAAATATGTGTATATATTTTATTAATTCTCCAGGTGTTTGGGAGGGATATTTCATACGCTTGACACTCTCTGAGGCAGTCAACAGAAGCTTCTCAAATTTCTGTTTAATTTAAAAGCAGTTTACACACAATATGGAAGATGTATTTAGCTTTAGGTACAATTTTGACACTAGTTCAAAGGCGCAAGATAAGGGATTCAAGGGTTTTTTTGAGAGTATCTTAGAACCCGAGTAAGCACGTTTAAAAGCACAGAGGTTTCTGAATATGATAGCAACGCTTTTAGGCTCCAACATATGAAGAACCAAGGAAAAACAAATAACCCAACTAGTTTGAGGCCACAGAAGCATATTAAAGGAAGTTTACGTGCAATTGCCTGTAAAACCATGACATATAAAATCCTTGATAATCCTTCAAGAAACATGATTATTCTGCAGTGGTGTGACTGTGAATCCCTCCGGATTGAATGACCTAGCTATAAATGACAAGTGGGAGACAAGAGGCAAAGTAGGGTCCTGCCTGTATAAGAAAGAAATCAAACTACCGCCTCACAGGCAGCTGAGCTGATCTAATAAGTGACTGTTGCAAAAGTGTGAGGTCAAGTCTCTCAGTCACTTTCCCAGCCTCCCAGCTGCACTTGCAGCAGTTCAGATACTCCTCTGATCTTTTACCTTCTATCTGTCACTTAGTCAGGTGATTTACCTCACTGTTACAGAGAAAGTAATCCCCCTTTCTGCTACTTTTCTTCCAGGCTGATAGGTCAAAGTGGCTAACGCATGCCAGCAGCAGCACAGAGTAAGCAGCAGGATGATCAAGAGCATGGATTGCTGAGAGGGCAAAGGACTGCAGACTGCTACCTCTCACTTCTGACAGTAGCAAACTGTGAGATTGTCTCTGGGTGTCTTGTGGAAGCACACTGCAAGCACTTGTCATTGGAAGGGAAGGGGGAATCAAAGGGAGAAGTGAAACAAGTATGGATCCTGACCATTGCTGCTTTGGAAGAGTGTGGATTTAAGTACACAAACTAGAGAGGTAGGAATCCCATACGTTTGCAGACAATTTCCTGGGTAGAAAAAAAGCATGTGCATTTGCAGCAGCTGCAGCACTTGCTGCAGTGGCAGGAGCCAGGGGATGTATAATCTATATGCAAATAGCTGCATAGCTCCCCCATGAAAGCATGGGGCTGGCTGCATGGAGTCTTAGTAGCTGCACAGTGTGTCTAGGTTAAGCCTGCTGTTTCTGAAGGGTTTTGCTCTTAACTATGCATGGCTGGACAGCACAGCACATACAGTGCTGCTCCTGCTAGGCTGCTTCAGGTTCTTTAACTGCAGTGCATGTTCACAATGCTAAGGCCCAGGGTTTCCAGACACGCAGCAACTAGTTCAGAAGTGTCTGCTCCCTACAGCTATCAATCAGACATTCGGAAAACCCAGACAAATTTATGAAGTCCTCAGAATTTGCCTAAGTGTGATTTCCAGGCAGAAGGAGTAAACGTGTCTGGGAAAAGAAAGCCCACAACATCCAGAAAGTCCTTCACTACATGTAGAAAAGCAAACAGGACAACAGAAGTTTAGGAACACCCATTCTGATGAACTGAAGGCAGGGCTGGAGCTCAAGTCTTAACTTCTTTACCTGTCTTGATTTATTTTAACTGTATTTTACAATGAGAATTTGGGAGGACATGCTTTCACTTAACAGAAATATGAGAGGTGTCTTGTAGTTCAGCTTCATAAATGTTCCTGCTACTGTGGTCATTCCAAAAGCTGTATAAGGAACTTACTTCAGGTCTAGACACCTATGAAGAAAATAACTGTAAACGAGTAAGAAGCTATGCAGTAATGTGAGAATCCACCCTGCTCTCTCCTTCATATGGCATTGGCTTACAAAATTAATTACTGACATACCTTACAGAGACGCAATACTTAATTAATATTTGTTAAGTGCTTTGAAATTCTGATGGCAGACAACATATTAGCGTGCTTTCTGACTAATACAGTGTAAAAGTGATGCCAGTGGTGTTGCTCAAGCAGAAAGCTAGAAGGGTATCTATCTATTCAGTTCCTCATTTAAAAGGGTAATGGAGATGAAGAAGGTTTAGGAAAGCATTTTAAAACTCAGCTATCCTAAAAGAACAGGGAGAACTGGGGAGGAGAGGAACTAAAAGTGTTCAGAGGAATTTACTGTGCAGTGTGCATTAACTCCTGCAAAGCGCCTCCAGCAAAATCCTGACTCCAATCAAGTACATGGAAAATATTTCACCACCTTCAGTGAGGTGAAGATTGTTAGCTTTTGTCATGATTTCCATGAGATGCACCCAGCATCCCATATGCAGGTCTGCAACTTTGCACAGTTGCTTGTTTACAGTTTAGGTTCAGGAAATAACCTCATCAAGCTAGGCCACACTCACCATGGAAAAGCAACTACTCAGGTTCTAATCACCTTTGTACTACATCCCACATTTGGAGTAAATCTTTCCATTCTGTTAATGAATTTGGACCTGAGCTACCTATTCAAGTTGGTGGCAAAACTCCAATGAAATGGAAGCAGTGTGGAGATCATTGCAGATTTTGTAATAAAGGTGGGAAGAAAGCACCCTGTGTTTAACAGTGGTTGTAACTCATATATATCCCTGGAGTCCAATTCATTTACTCAGAAGTCTGTAGAATTTGCAATGAATTCCTGACTGGGGGGGGGGGGGGGGAGAAAGGAAGCAACAGAAATTCAGACAACTTATTTTTTCAGAATCAGTTTTCCATACCTAGCAAGATAAAGAGTAGGAGAAACATGCTTCTCACCACTTCTGGGTAAGGCAGAGTTAAAGAGCACATTTTTCAGCTCAAAGCTTTGCACCTGGAAGGCTCCAAGGAGAAAGGACATAAAGAGTAGCAGGTGATACACATTACTATTTGTGAGAAAGTACCTCAGAGCTTCCAGTAATAAGAAGAGCGATGTTAGAGCAGGCATCTACAGCTACTATAGGGTGGAAAGTAAGTGAAAATGTGTTGGGATGCAA